TGAATGAACTGACAAAAGATTACCGGATACGCATGCCTAACGAGCGGCAAGAACCGCGAAACCGGTCGTGTGCTTCCAGGGGAATTTTGTCCAGTCATTCACATACTACTTAGTATATATATATCCATTCCCGTCATACAGTCTGTATTGATTATGCAACGAACGTTGTGATGATTACTTAAGTTTATGTCATCCCGTATGTTCGATCGTTTCACTGGAAGTCAGATCTTACTGTCTCAGTCTCATGCCAATTCCGTGGTCTAGTTCTGAGGACACGCTACTAGTAGTTGCTACCAAAATTCTGCCCGTTCAATAGACAGCTCAGCGGATCACCAACGATCTTGCAAATATAATTCAATTTGGGGAATTACGGTGAAGAAACTAGGTTGTGGGAATTGATAAATAATTGGATTGGGGTTTAGCGTTGCTGATCAACAGCCACATTGCCCTGTTTTGTCTTTTCGTATTTCAGTGCCAACATTGAGAGTTTTGAAAAATGTGCCTGCTATGGCTCACAAGGTTGCAGTCGAACAAAGAGGCGGTAAATTTGCAGGCAAATTCAGTTTCAGAGGAATTCCATTCATTAAATCATTCAGAGCCTATATCGAATCTATCTACCTATGCAATGGTTCACGACCACGGTGATGCTTGAGCATGGTAATCGATCAGTCTTGACGTGACTCGCTTGCTTATCCGATCGATCGAGGTCATTCGACCTCGGGTGCGTTCAGTCTCGTCTCAAGGTTATTCAATCCACTGCCCAGAATGACATGTCTCGAACTGGACTTTTTTACCACATCGTTGCTACTGGCCCTTCTGATTAATCTTGGTTATTCTTATCTGCTTTGTTGAAAGACGTAACTAGCAATCTAGACTGACCTTGAGAGCCGCACCGACCAGATACAGACTCCCAGTGACTAGAACATGGCAATGCGTATCTGTGTTTGACGAATCGATTGTTCCATTGGAAACAGGTTCCACTCCATTGGATTCTGCCTCGGGAACAGTCCGTGTTCGTACAAACTCGAGCAGGTGTGCGCGAGTCAATCGCGGCACACGTTCGATCCACTCGACCAGGTCGGATAGGTCCTTTGCTGTCCCGATAGAACATACGGTTTCTGAGACGTCCGATGAGGTTAACGAATGCCAACAGGATAGACAGTTGTGGTGCTGAGATGCCTTGCTGGCCGGATACACTAGAACAAAAGATAGAGGACGAGAGACGCGCGAATAGAGTAAAAAAACTCAGGGAGACTACAGTCAAAGTAAAAAAGTGGCATGGTTTTTTTAGACCTAAGGATACTTTTCATAGTCAAGCCGAGTCAAGAAGGATATTTTTCAAACAAAATAGCAGAGTGGCGAACAAGTTCGTGATTTCAGTGATTCGTATTCATACTAATACTATATATATATATATATATATCACTACTTCGAAATGAAATTGTCTTGGGGAAAAAATCACAGATTACTAGAACCGGTTTCATCATGAGACCGGAAATCGGGTCCACCACGATCACATAGTTGTTTGTCCACTGATCGGATCATCGAGATTACTCATGATACGGTATGAGGGGTGGGACAGGGAAGCTTTGGCGCTTGCAAACATTGCTTTTGGGCACACAGAGGTGAGTTGTGCAGACGAATCCCCAAAGCTTCTGCTGTAGCCAGTACCCCACTGCGAACCTACCTCGATAATCGTCTACGAACTTTGTACACGGGTCGGAAAGCCTCGGACACGTCCACAGTATGACTTATCTCAGTTAGGTGTGAAACCACTGCACTGGTGAGTGAGTTATTCGTTCGGGTGTTCAGCCACGCAGGGTGGTATTCATGAATCCATTCGGACAATCGCCTGATTTCCGGTCTCATGATGAAATCGTTTGTAGTAGTCTGTGATTTTCCCAGTAGTGATATATATATATATATATATACCTTGGTATAAATACGATTATCTAAAGACGAGCTTGTTCGCCACGCTCTGTTATTTTGTTTGAAAGCATATTTTTCTTAGTGTTCAAAATTAATTCTCTCACACAGAACAGCGACGGTTGTTCATACCTCGTAAATCGGTTGGACAAACGAAATTTTGAAAAAAGCTTTACGAATCGACAGCCCAAGACAGGCATTCTCGCATCATGAGAGCGTGGGATTACCTTGCGGACGAAACTCCGAGTACTCAAGATAGTACCCAGTGTCTCTGTCCGGTCAATGCTAGCTAAATCTGGCCTTTTAGAGGCATAGATTTCAATCAGATGGCTAAACCGAATACTAAAAAACTATCACATGTGAACTCATTTTCAATAAAGTCAGATTGTAGCGTCCAAATGTCAAAGTGCAATCAAAACTACTTTGGGACCATTATCTACAGCGTGTCTCAACGATGCTCAATGGTTGAGACACGCACTCAATTTTTCGCATTATGGCGACATTGGTTGCAGGCTGAGGGGACCACGTGGAACGCAATCCGCTTTCGCCACCAACCCCCGAGAAACGGAATTTGTAAAACAGACGATGGAAACAACATATAGGAAAGGTCAACAACCATGCACCCGTGATGTTTCGGGGGGCGGGGCGAGGATAAGGTGCATCCTAGTTACGTATGCATGGAGAACGCACATTGTCCCCGATTGGTTTCTTTTCACGGAGTAGATGGAGAAAAAGTGAGAATTTGAGATGAGATTTAAGTGAATTGCTAAGGGGTCGCAGCTGTCGCAGCGCCTTCCGGTCTTTTTTTATTATAAATATTTGTGTGATGAACAGCACTCGAGGTAAACCTCATCTTCGCGAAGACCTGCTGTTCAGAGATGGAAATCGGCAACCTAAGCCCCGGAGTCGCGAACCACATAAATTCCCGCTGGGTTAGGCGTGGTATTGATCTGGACTACAGCAAAGCTGTCTACCATCAAAGTAGTGTTAGCGGGGTTCGAACCTCAGACCAGGGTTTTTTGAGCAAGATCTTGAAGAATGAGACACATACAGTGAGATCGGTTCATAAAGTTCAGTTCACGCTTTGTTTATTACGCACAGGACGAAATCCACTATATAACTGAGTTATATCCTTCCCTATTCGCACGTAACTTGGGTAGTATTAGCGTGAATTGAATGATTACACATTTCAGTAGGATAAACAATGAACGAGGTGAATCATGCAGTCATAAGAGAATTTAATACCGTTCATGCGTGGTCATCTGGAGGCTCAGAGTTTTAAACAAGGAATAGTACAGGTGTGTGATTCAGTTGGATGACGGCGGAGCTCTTCATTATTATTATTATTATCAAGGCAGGAGGGGGTGGGTAGGGGTACATTGTGTGATTACGAACGTGTGTGTGCCAGCGAACTGAATCGCCAGACTACAAAGACCATAACCACCATCACACAATGATTCATGAGCACGGTTGTGTTCAATGATAGCGTTTTTTTGAATGTATTTAAAAAAGTAATGTGACAAAACAGAAAATTTTCAAAACACCTACCCGATTCCGGAGGATGTGGATTGAGGAACAGGACCAAATCAAAGCCGGGTTGAACAATGGTCTGAAAGAGATTACGGACGAGAAGTGATCACGGCTGAGAGAGGTTGAAATGAAGGTATTCGGGAAAAAGTAGGATCTACGAAACTAGCCTTGGTATCTAAAATTGAGATCAAAATAGGCACACAAAGCATTGTGAAAAGCGAAAAGAGTTGCTCCTTTTGCGATGATGATAAACAGTTGCCACTTGCATAACGTTTATCACTTTAGATGATTCACATGAGCGAGATTCGATTGACTAAAATCTAGTCGAATTGCGTAGTCAAACTGATCGAGGGAGGGGGGGAGAGGTCAATCTGCATCATTTACAGTGCGATCGCTTCAGCGGTTCAGGTTGTCTTGCCCTCTCACTCGTGACCTTGAACAAGCAAATTCCCTCTGACCCTCTCTACGATCTGATTGCATCATTTTCCGCGACTTGTGGCACTTGGAAGATCTCACTCCAACGCGAGACTGTCCGGTTACCGGCTTGTATTTTTTGTAATGCTCTTGTTGCCACGTGCAGTCCATCCGTGCGGTGATGACATTTAGCCTGTTCGCCGAGCAATTGGCAATTTGTTTGCAAACGTTTCATCACCAGCCGAGGTGATATCATCAGTGATTGTGACGATGACACGTTGGTAAACAAATTGCCAAGCTCAGCGAAACGGGGGAAATGGAATTTTCTTCCTATTTCTGATTTGTTTGTTTCTAACTGAAATGTCTACAGAATTTTTTACGAATAGCAATAACAATTCTGATGACCTTAACCATTGAACCATTGTCGTTGTACGACACGAACCACAAAGATGTCATAGTCGGCCAATCCACATTCGTTCACAGCCATAATCACAACAAAGCAGCCGCCTATAACGTCACAGGAAAGTGGAAAAACTGCGGACTAACTTTACAATCTCTTTATGGAATTATCAACACCAGGTTGTCATTTTCAGCCTTTTCTTGTTCTAACACCTCTACATTCAAATATTCACGCAACCGTTCCCATTCCTCCAGGAATCACTTCGATTTCTACTCGTAGCTGTTCACCCGTTGCTTCATAAAGAGCCGTACATTACATTTATACCTCAACAATAGACCGATGAAAAACGCTCCACTAAAGCAGTTACTCAACGCGTAATCACAAAGCACAAGCATAGTGTCATGGTGCGCGAGAAAAGACGTAACAAATAGGTGTGTTCAGCGCACACAACGCTTCACACTTACATGTAACGACTCGAGCATCGGTTTGGGGTCACGCTGGCCCAGCACGGTGAAAATAAGCACACGCAAAAGGGGACTGACGGGGTTGGCGGTGCACGAGTGTGGCAGTTCATTAAACATGCGATAAAAGAAAGCATACGAATTAGGAAATCAGAAGGAGCGGCCTGAATTAGATAAGATAGGTAAACTGGAGTTAGCATGACACACTCACTCATTCCGCAAAAAGAATCTGACTTTGATAAATTCACCTTGTTTGCATGGTTGTTTGAATGGTTAGTCACTTTAGCTTTGCCTTGGTGATTACCCCCACCCTCTCCCGTTCTTTGTGTTACTGTGTCGTGTGTTGTGCGTTGTGATTAGCAATCATGTCTTCATTTCACGGTAGTTATCTCACTGACTATATAAAATGACTTTGACTGCAGTATGCACGTGTACAGATGCAGCGAAATGACCATGAATAAGGCAATTGGTTTATTTGCGGAACGTATACAAGTAGCCGACCTGTATAGGCCGATGAGCAAGCAAATGAGGTTGACAAAGCCGAACGCATTAAAAAGCACAGGCTTCACATATTATCAAATTACGATCAAACAGGACAGCCAACGAACCAATCAGCGCGGACAGTTCAATACTGTCCGACTGACGTGCATCTTGCCCTTTAAAAGAGTAAGTCTGCATTACCTGTAGGTGTGGTAGCGGACAGCATCGGTCAACAAATCAAAATTACCTATCTGGTGACATGCGTAACACACGTCCCAACCAACGTAATCTATGGAGGTCGACCACTTGCTCCAGTGGGCGACCGCGGATACCTAAAACTCTGCGCCTAACCTCAGCATTGCTCGTCCGGTTACCCCACCAGATTCGTGCAATGCTGCGTAGACAGCGGTGTTCAAACACCGACAGTCCGTCTTTATCCTGTTTTCTTAATGGACAAGTTTCTGCACCGTATGGCAGGACTGGCCGAACTGTTGCGGCATACACTCGACCCTTCACAGACAGCCGGAAGTCGCGACGGCACCACAGATGTCTCAAGTTGGCAAATGCCAACCGAGCCTTCTGTATGCGAGCTGACAATGTACCCATGCATCCACCGGGTGAGATGTAGCTGTCCAAATAACCTGCTCTATTACTTCCCCAGTTAGACTGAGGCTGAGTGCTGGACCAACCCAGTCTTGTAGTAACATTTTACACTTTGAAGGTGCAAAACGCATACCAAATATGAGCTACACTGGCATTCAAGTTATCCAGAAATGCTTGCAACTTACCTGGATCTTCACTTAGCAGCACAATGTCGTCTGCGAACTCTAGATCAGACAGCCTGCCACTTAGGAGTAAATCGATGCCACTATCCTCGCATGAATACAAGACTGCTTCCATAATCAAATCTATAACAAGGCTGAATAGAAAAAGAGGAAGAGGGCAACCCTGACGAACACCACTTTCCGTGGTGAACTCGGGCGAAAAAGTGCCGTAAGCCCGGACTCCACTTCGGCTATTATTATAAAGCGATCGTAATATTGAAATTGACTTCTCGGGCACAACTTTCAGGGA